AGAGAACTATCCATACCCTTGTGTTGGATTCCACAGAGCACAAAAGTAACAAACAGCTGAATATCCAATACAATGGAGGTTGGTGAAAAAACAGCCTCCTAGTGTTGAGAATGCTAATGCGTTGCACAGCCAGCACAAGAGCCTAGAGTATGGAACGGATGGTTACCCTTTGATATAAAGGGTGTCCCAAGCAGATTCATGATGGATTTGAATAGAAACCGAAACAGGATTCTGGGAACAACAAGGGGAATCTGAAAATGGAGAAATGGACCAGAAACGTCAAAGCGAACCGAAGAGGTCGGAATTCCCGTTCCCTATCTTCTGGTTGCCTTATTACAATAAACTGGAGGAGAGTGGAGAGACTAACAACCAGGAGAAGAACAATTCTTCACCAAAAATCGTTGAAGAGGTGCCTCATGTAGTTAAATCTGTTCCAGTAAAGTCTCATTGTGATGAAGGGGTATGAACCGAACCAGATCAGATCAAGCTGCACGTCCAGATACAAATGCTTCAGATGTTGCAGAGAAAGTGACTAATGCCAGAAGCATACCGTGAAGCAGATAGGAAAAATGCTTCTCTAGATCAAATGGAAGAGAATGTGGCAAAAAAGGATTCCTCTACTGATGACAAAAGGGGACAATCTGCATCTTTACCAAAAGCATCAAAGTTACCTCCTGTTTGTCTGAGAGTTGATCCACTACCAAGGAAGAAAAATGGCAATGGGAGTTCGAGGTCGAGGTCCCTCAGTCCACCTTCCTCAAAAGGACAGGCCCAAGTTACATCTGGTGAAACATTGAAGACTCCTGTGTCTGGCAAAACGACAAGACTAGCAAAATTTGAATTCATCAAAATGCTCCCAGGACCACTGAAAAGTTGAACCAAAGGAGAAAACCATTCAGGAGTATGAATGTAAAACTAATGAAAACAAGGGTGTTGACAAGACAGATGAATGTCAGAGCCAGATCAATGTAAACATTCCAAGTGAAGGTTCCAAAAGGACAAAGGATACCTGCACAGATAGTGATGAATGCAAGATTGAAGATAAAGAGGCAGGAAAAGGAGCAGAAAATATGGAAGAAACTACTCAACTAGGGGAAGTGAAGGATTCAAGCACTCTAACTGATGTTGGTAGTAAAGAGGGAAAGATCTTGTCAGATGCAGATGCTGCTGTTCTGATACAAGCTGCATATCGCGGTTATCAAGTTAGGAAATGGGAGCCCTTGAAGAAACTCAAGCAAATAGATGAAGTCAGAAAGGAGGTGACTAATGTTCAAGATCGTGTTCAAGCTTTTGAGAGATCTTCTGATCTTCAAAATGATGAGAAGCAAAAAATTGCAATAGGAGAGAACATAATGAGACTCCTGCTGAAGTTGGATACTATACAGGTACATGTCGATTACCCTATTTTGCTTACGAAGAATCACTAATGAATATTTGATATTCTTTGATTATTGAACCTAAGCATTACATGGTACTTGTTTTGATTTCACACTTTGCAGTTAAACTTCTCCATCGTATCTGTTAGCTAATCTTAATTTAATTGACATTTGTGGGGCCTGTAATATCGTTTTGGTATTAGCGAATCTTGGTTAATTGGGATATAACGACCTTAATTGTATACAATTTTGAAGTTTCTTCGTTTATGAATATGATAATGAATGAATATGATAATGAATTTCGCATGCTCAATTCCGCATGCCTAAGCTCTGTGGATGTGAACAAAGATATTTTGATCTGCATAGATGAATGTTGGTTGTGGTTTGTCTGAGACAATCGACGTTCATAAATTATGATGTTTAACAGAGTTTTATTTCCTTGTTCTATGTTATGCTTACATATTGTTCAACATAAATATCAGGGTTTGCATCCAAATTTAAGGGAGATCAGAAAATCCTTGGCTAGAGTGCTCACAATGTTGCAAGAAAGGCTTGATTCTTTAATGGCTAATAAACCTCAGCAGCAGATGCAGGCTATTCAGAAAGATGTTGAAGTGACTCCAACGAACATGCAGAATGAAGAAAAACTTGCCTTGCCAGGAGATTCATCTGAAGGCAATAGTGATGGTGGAAATGTATCTCAGTCACCAGTTGATCCTGTACCAAACGAGGGTGGAGAGTCTGTTAAAAATGGTTCGTGGAGTGAGGATACTATACAAGTCGTTACAGCAGATACATTGAACTCTACGAGTAATCTGTCTAAGACTGACAAAATGGCTGTGGAATCCGAAGACAAATCAGAACCGAAAGACATTCTCATTGAGGTTGATGAATTGGATATGACTGTTGTGAAAGAATTGCCAGTGGGAGTTCTTGATGAAGATAGCAATGATGCTAGTATTGAGAAGGAAGAGGAGCACGATAACACTGGTTCTGGAAGTGTATCAGCCATGGTGAATGATTCTGCACGAGATGGACTAGGTTCAGAGAACCATGCAATGATGGAACTTCCAGTGGNATTTCTTTGCAGAAGCTCATGACCATAATCATGGAGTCTTCTGAATTGTTCTTTGAATGACCCCTCAACATTATATTTTGCCATGGATCTCGCCTTAAAAGTCATATTTCTAGAGATTCCTAAATTCCATTTCCTATTGAGTTTGTCCCTAATGTCCATGACCTTAATATTAGGGTTCTCTCTGACAGTTTTTTCCATCCTTTCACTCAACCATTTGGTACTTATCAACTTCACATTAAAATCTCTACTACAGGTGTGATCATTAATCACTTTTCTTAACTGCCATGACTTGCCACCACATATATAGGCACAATAAGCATACCATTTGCATTTCCCATTGCCCCCCCAAACATTTTACAGTAACCCTCTTCTTGTCATTCTTAATGAATTTTAAATTTCTACCATTACTTAGTGCATACCCCCTAATTGCATCAATGAATTCCTTTTTCTCAGTGAAATAGGTTCCTACTTCCCATTTATATTCCCCCAAACTTTTAGGCATAGTAAATGTGGGGAACAAAGTTTTGGGAATGGAAACATCATCGTTCTCACTATCTGGACCACTATCCAACTCATCTGACACCCACTCAATGTCAGACAAGCCACGAACATCATGCATGGAATCATTTTCAGTTCTCTTTGAACATTCACCTTCTGGACTGCAAGGTTGTCCTTTAGAAGTCTCAATGTCACATTCAACCCTGACATCAACTAGACTTTCTTCACTAATAGAGTCTTCTACATTTTCATATTCACCATCATCTACATCCTCATCCTCATCGTCAGCATCATCTCCAGCATCATGTCCACCCTCATCATCACCATCATGTCCACCCTCATCGTCACCCTCATGTCCACCCTCATCCTCATCTTCTTGTACATCTTGTAGCTCAAAATCATGTACTTCAACCTCCTCTGCATCATGTACTTCTTCCTCCTCTACATCATGTACTTCACCATCGTCTCCATTTTCAACCTGTTTAGCAACTTCACTGTGAACCTCTACATCAACTTCAGGCTGAACCTCACCTTCAACCTCCTCCATTTTTCTATCAACTATTTCACCATCACCATGACCCTGAACCTCCTCCATTTATNTATTTTTTTTTTCTTCAAACAGTCTCAATCCAACATCTACTCATGATAATCTCGTCCTATAGAATAAGAAAATTATTATGATTTTGTGCTTTATCAACACCACATGAGGAAACCTCATACTAGAGAAAGTCTACTCTCAAATTCTTCCTGTTAGTCAAATTCTTTCTGTTAGTCAAATTCTTCCTGTTAGTGTAAAAAAACAAGAATTGATATTTTGACAATATTCTTTTGACAACATTTTAACATTATCTATATGTCATTCTGTGATTGGTCCATGTTAGTGTTTATAATTATTATTATTGATTGTGGAGTAATTTTGGATCAATCACAGAATAACACGTAGATAATGTTCAAATATTGTTAAAAAAATATTATCAAAGTATCATTATCCATAAGTTTAAAGATAAATAACATTAACATTAAAATAGGTTTATATGTTTCTTCTTAGATCTTTCGTTCATAAACAAGCAACTAAAGTGTTTGTTGAAATACTAAATAAGATACACAATTTCAATTCACATTGCAACAAAATATGTTGTTATAAATTTGATTCAATGCTAAATTTTGAAAATGTAAGTCAAATGAAACAATTGATGTGTATACATACGAATGAGAAATGCATTGATGCAATTTTTAGAAATTATCAAAATTGGTAGATTTGAATATAAAAAATACAAAAATAGGTAAATTGTATTAAGCTGAAACCTCATAATGAAGATGTCTAAGTTAACATAATATAATTTTAGTTCAAGTCATCTTTAAAATCAAAGTTGTGTCAAAATATTTTAAATTAAAGTCATGTCATCTTGCTTTAACTTTTATCAAAATTAAACTAAAGGTATATCAGGCTGACACAATTTTTTTCCATTTAAACTATACAAAATTAATATATAATATAAGAATACATTATAAAAATTTTCAAAATTTTAAAAGTAGTATGAATATCTAAAATAAAAGTGTAAAATATAAAAAAATGGGAAAAAATAATAATAAAAAAATATGCCTTAAATTATGAATTTTTGAAAATTCCAAAATATTTTAGAAAAAGAAAAATACCTTAAACAATGGTTAATGCATTCGTCACCTCATTTATAATAACTTTCATTTTTAGAACATTTCCATTGGTGGTTCATACAAAAAGTTATGACAATTTGAAGTTTACAAAAGTCAAGGTTAATCTAAAACCACAAAAACACAACCTTTAAGACACACAATAATGACTAGGAAATGAAAAAACCAATATTAATGAGAAATGTAATTAGGGAGAATGAAAGTTTATTATTGCACTTTGTTGGAAGGTTTTCACAAAATTTAAAGAGAAAGATGAAGACACTAACATTGTTTCTAAAATTTTAAAAGAAAAATTGACATTAGACCTACTTATAATAGACAACAATCTAGTTTTCAATGTCGGTCCCATGATAAAAAACGTTAAATAAAGTTGTATTTGAGTATTATAACATTTTTTAACATCTGTTGACTTTAAGACTGACAATAAAATTTAAATTAATGTATGTTATGTTATGAATAGATTTGACATCAATATAAACAAAATATTTATACAAATATTATCATGCATTTTTTACATCAAAATTTAATAATTGCAACGTGAGTTATAAAATTTTTTTCACCAATGTTGTAAGTTAAGATAATTGAGACAAGTATAGGATTTCAGTAAAAGTATGCTAGACAAAGTTCAATGATACTATCAATGTGATTGCTACAATTCTGGTTCAATATTAAAACATATCTAGAATGTTTTAATATTACTTTGGTTCAATATTAAAACAATTTAATTTATATATTAGAGAACATTTGGAGTTTATTTTCTTCTAAACAAATTTAGAATGGCTTTCGAAAAAAAAAGATATAGAGTAGATTATATGTAAAACTCATGTAACCTTGTTTTCTATATGAAGTTAAGAGTTACACGTATCTCATGTAAAAAAAATTTAGTGCAAACAATTTATTATATTTTGTTTTCTGTTGTTAGGATTTCTCTCAACAAAAACTTTTCTTATTCTATTTTAAATGTCATTCAATTTCAATGTTTCAGTGTGGTATTCTCATTTCAATATATAAAGATACTTTTGAGTTAGGATTGTCACTTCTGTTTGAACTGTTGAACCTAGATTTCTTTGCAGAAGCTCATGACCATAATCATGGAGTCTTCTGAATTGTTCTTTGAATGACCCCTCAACATTATATTTTGCCATGGATCTCGCCTTAAAAGTCATATTTCTAGAGATTCCTAAATTCCATTTCCTATTGAGTTTGTCCCTAATGTCCATGACCTTAATATTAGGGTTCTCTCTGACAGTTTTTTCCATCCTTTCACTCAACCATTTGGTACTTATCAACTTCACATTAAAATCTCTACTACAGGTGTGATCATTAATCACTTTTCTTAACTGCCATGACTTGCCACCACATATATAGGCACAATAAGCATACCATTTGCATTTCCCATTGCCCCCCCAAACATTTTACAGTAACCCTCTTCTTGTCATTCTTAATGAATTTTAAATTTCTACCATTACTTAGTGCATACCCCCTAATTGCATCAATGAATTCCTTTTTCTCAGTGAAATAGGTTCCTACTTCCCATTTATATTCCCCCAAACTTTTAGGCATAGTAAATGTGGGAAACAAAGTTATAAAAATGGAAAAATCATCATAATCACTATCTAGACCACTATCCAACTCATCTGACACCCACTCAATGTCAGACAAGCCACGAACATCATGCATGGAATCATTTTCAGTTCTCTTTGAACATTCACCTTCTGGACTGCAAGGTTGTCCTTTAGAAGTCTCAATGTCACATTCAACCCTGACATCAACTAGACTTTCTTCACTAATAGAGTCTTCTACATTTTCATATTCACCATCATCTACATCCTCATCCTCATCGTCAGCATCATCTCCAGCATCATGTCCACCCTCATCATCACCATCATGTCCACCCTCATCGTCACCCTCATGTCCACCCTCATCCTCATCTTCTTGTACATCTTGTAGCTCAAAATCATGTACTTCAACCTCCTCTGCATCATGTACTTCTTCCTCCTCTACATCATGTACTTCACCATCGTCTCCATTTTCAACCTGTTTAGCAACTTCACTGTGAACCTCTACATCAACTTCAGGCTGAACCTCACCTTCAACCTCCTCCATTTTTCTATCAACTATTTCACCATCACCATGACCCTGAACCTCCTCCATTTATGTTCCAACTTCAACCTGAACCTCACCCTCACCCTCCTCCCTTTCTCTACCAACTTGTTCACCATCACCATGACCCTGAACCTCCTCCATTTGTGTTCCAACTTCAGGCTGAACCTCACCCTCACCCTCCTCCATTTCTCTACCAATTTGTTCACCATCACCATGACCCTGAACCTCCTCCATTTGTGTTCCAACTTCAGGCTGAACTTCACCCTCACCATCCTCCATTTCTCTACCAATTTGTTCACCATCACCATGACCCTCACCCTCCTCCATTTGTGTTCCAACTTCAGCCTGACCCTCACCCTCACCCTCCTCCATTTCTCTACCAATTTGTTCACCATCACCATGACCCTGAACCTCCTCCATTTGTGTTCCAACTTCAGGCTGAACCTCACCCTCACCCTCCTACATTTCTCTACCAACTTGCTCACCATCACCATGACCCTGAACCTCCTCCATTTGTGTTCCAACTTCAGGCTGAACTTCACCCTCACCATCCTCCATTTCTCTACCAACTTCACCCTCACCATCCTCCACTTGTTTGGCAACATGAACTTCATCATTAACATCGCCATCAACCCAATCAATCATTTCTATTATGTCTGGTTCCATGGTATTATGAACCACATACAAATGAACTTCATCATTTAACCTTGCAATATTCAACATATGTATGACACCTCTATCATCAGT